GGAACGGCTAGGCTAGCCGAGATCCTCGAAGTTAAGCGTTTTCTCCGGGGCAAGCTGGCAGAAACTCCGGAGAGTTCAGGCTAGCAGAGGCCGTTTAGGACGATAGATTGTTTATGGCAAGCTAGCGTGGATCTTTCGGGAAGGCTGGTTTCATACAGGGTACGCTAGCAGCGGTTCTTAAGGACGAGTAGTTTCTTCGGGGCAAGCTGGCAGAGATTCTCGACGGTGCTGCCAGCCCTTTTTATGCAAATCATTTTCCGGGATCGTTCGTCAAAAATCGACAGCCGCGGGCCCAGACGCCAGTTCGAGTTCGAGCCGTTCGTAAAAAATTCGAGACAACCGTTCGTTCCGGGACCCAGCCGCGGGCTCACATTTCGCGATGTTTTTTTGCACGCCTCTCCTCTCTCGAGTTTCATCATCCGCTTGTTGCGGGGGGCAAAAAGGACAAGCCGCACCGGCTGTAATCCCCCTTTGAAGCCTCCGGAAAAGCGGAAAGACACGGAAAGGGAGCGGCGCGGCTTTTTCCGCCCCCCTAGAGTGCTGGGATAAAAAGGGGTCAAACGCGTCTCTCTCTCTCTCCCTGTCCCTCTCGCTTTCTCCGTCTCTCTCTCGCGCCCTCTCTCTCAAATGTTCCACGTCCCTTTGGAAGAAGCGATCAGCCGGTGGAGGCGGAGATGAACAGCTGGCTGTGGGAGGGCACATGGCCCATTCCATGAGACGCCCAGTTTTTCACAGCTAATTTTAGGGCCCAACGGGGAGGCCCACGCAGCATCCGGTCGGGACCGGGGATCAGGGGATCTGGAAAGATTTTCGTGATACGTTAAAGGGTCGAAAGCAAGATAATTGGAATTTTATGGAATTCCTCAAGAATCCTGGCTACCCTGCCTGTTAAGCGCAAAATGATTTTTAGGAAAAATGATTTTTAGGAAAAATGAATTTAGGAAAAATCATTTTTTAGGAAAAATGAACATAACCCATCTTAACCATATAGCGTATTTTTATAGTATTTTTAGTGTTTTCTGATTGCTAGAAAGGTATAATGTTTGGTAACATTTTGGAGTGGTGCTTTTTTCGTCTTTTAGCGTAAAGTCCTATCAAAATTGTTTATTTTTGGTATTGGGCTGTACTGAATTACTAGGAAAATAAAGTTTTCCCGTTTCAAGAATTCGCCACCCCCGCTAAGAGTCCAGTGCCTCGGAAATTCGAGTTGTCTCTGCTAGTAAGCGTAGCTGAAAATTATTCCTTGAGAAACTCTGCTAGCCTCCTCAGGCATCAGCGCCTTGTGAGCATGAGCTGCTAAGGTCGAACACCAAGGATCCAAGGATGCCCCAGTTGTGAACACCTGATCACCGGAAAATCCTGAAAACAACCTGCACAGCTGATTTCTTATGAGCCGCTCCGGCTTTTGGCCACCCTCCAACCCCGGCTACCGACGTGACAAGCATCAGGTGGTGCTCCCCGGCGGGGTTTTGCCCTCTTTCCCCGATTTCAGGCTCGTTTTTCAGATTGACCCCGTGATTGGGGCCCCCGGGGCAACTATTGTCAAGTGATCGGGTGACGCAGAGGTAGCTCGGAAATTTTTGGGGCAGCCCCAGACACCCACACATAACATACAAAGAAATCGGCTCAAAAACTGAAAAATGGATTTTTTAAAATAAATAGACGAATTTTGTCGGATTTTTTTCAGTTTTTTAAAGCCGCGCAAGAGACTCGGGCGCAATAGGATGGAAATACAAAACCACGGTCGTCACCAACCGGGATAAACTCCGACTGCCAGAATCCCGAGAGCCAAAAGCCCGACAGGTAAAAATCCTGAAAGCCATAATCCCGTAAAAAAATGCCGAGAGGGAAAATCCTGAAAGCCAAAATCGAGAGGCCAGAATCCCGAGAGTCAGGATGTCGACAGGTCAAAATCCGATCAGCCGAAATACCAACAGGTAAGGATCCCGAAGCCAGAGACCCGGCGAGCCAAAATCCCGACAGCTGGAATAACAGGTAAAAATACCAAAAGCCCAAAACCCCGACAGCCAAAAATCCCAACAGCCAAAAATCCTGACTTGCCGAATAGCCGTTTAAAAGGAAGTTGAATCCACAATAGCACCAGGAAGATTTCGGGATCAGAAATGATCATATATTTGTCGGTCCCCGACCTAATTTGCATATGTGCGCCTCGGGTGGCAAAGTGTAATCTTCGATGAGCGGCACAACACGTGTGACTCATGTGGCGATTTTGAAAGATCCGCCACTCTCTCTCCCTCTCACTCTCAGGCTCTCTCTCTCTCTCTCTCTCTCTCTCTCGCTCTCGTTCTCCCTCCCTCAACCCCAAGGGTCAGTGATGTCAGAACAGACAGAGAGAAGCAGAGAAACAGACACCCAACCCCTTTCTCCGATATGCAGATCTGGCGATATGCAAATCCGTATCCCTTATCTCGGCCTCTCTCTCTCGATTATTTCTTGTAGCCTCAGGGCATTATCGATTAAATGGATGACCCGGGGTTCGGAGGGCCATCATTCCCTCGCTCGACACTATGATATGTAAATCAACTTTCGTAAGATTTCGGGTAATTTAGCTTGATTTGTGCTAAAATTCCAGATTTCGAAGTTCGGTATTGTTCTAAATTGGTATTAGTACATCTCTCTTACTTTCTCTTTCTCTCTTCATCTAGCTCTCTTTCTCGCTCTCTCTCTCTCTCTCTCTCTCTCTCTCTCTCCCTGTTTTTAACGGGCTTAAAAGCTCGTCATGATTAAAATCGTTCACCGTTTTGCACATTTTGGTCGCTCTCTCTGTCTCTCGCTTGCTTTCGCTCACTCTCCCTCAGTGTCCCACGCTGTCTCTCGCGCTTGCGCTCACTCTCTCGCACCCTCTCTCGCTCTCTCTCTCACTTACTTTCTCTCATTCTCTGTCACTGTCTCTTACTGCCTCTCGCTCTCTCTCTCTCACTCGCTCAATCTCTCTCTTTCTCTTGCGCTCTCATTCTCTCTCTCGATCCTCCCAAAATGTAAAAATAAATTTCCTACAGCAAATTAAAAAAAGGTTATTTTAGATTCATTTCCGAATTGGTCCCAAATTCCTCCAAAAATTTCCCCTCCCTATTTCATGGTTTTCATCGAAATGATTCCCCATCGACACCACCCCTCCCCTCCGGATTTGCATGCTAAACCGTGCGCTCGTAGACTACCGTATCCAAGCCGGGCTTTGCATTCGCGATGGGCGCTGCCCATTTTTGGCCGTGCGCTTTGACTTCAAAAGTCATTTGAATCGCTCCCCCAGACGAGCATGACAGGCATTTCGCAACTATTATAGGGGACGAGCGGGTTCAAAAAGATGCTATTCTTGATTTTCTACTGTAACGTTCTTCTGTTCCGAAATGGTCTCTGCTATGTTGCGTTTTTTGCAAAAATCCACAAATGATCTCTGCTAGCCTGTCAACTCGAGTAAATTTCCTAAATGGTCTCTGCAAGCCTACCGACTGTTGTAAATTATCCAAAATCATCTTTGCTAGCCTGCCCTCTCCTCGAAAAAGTGTGATTATTTTCTGCTAGCTTGCGTTGCCGCTCGCGGCTTCCTAAATCATCGCTGCTACCTTGCTCGGGGCTAGAAAGCCTTGTAAATCATTTCTACTAGCCTGCCTTACCGCCCAAAACTTCCTAAATGACCTCTGCTAGCAAGCAATTGCCGCGGAAAATCCTAAAGAGTCTTTGCTAGGTTGCACAGCTTCGAAGAGGCGCAAAAATCAGCTCTCTCAAATTCTCAAAACTCTCTGCTAGCCCGTTCGGATACTTTGAACGCTCCATGTTGCACCCCCAATTCCCCTCCAATCCATCAAATATCCTTCGGGCCCATTTTTTTCATGCCTAACTTTACTGTGCCACCCTCGTGACCAGGTTTTGTGCAAGATTTTTGCAGCAAAAGTAAAGCTGGGCATGTTGCAACAGTTAGAGAGAGAGTGAGAGAGAGAGAGAGAGAGAGAGAGAGAGTGGGAGAGAGCTCTTGATCTTCATCCCTCAACACCCACGACAGGCGGGCCATAAAAAGTGTGGCCCTGGATTGGGTTGTCGGGGGCCCTTTGGTAAGCCCGAAATTTATGGCCCTAACGGGTTGATGGGGTAATTGATAGAACAGGAGGGTTAGAGACGGTTGATTGGCCCCGGAAAATACCGTAAATGGAAATAATCGGTATTACGGCGCGAAAAACCAACAGTAAAACGGACACTAAATGTAGCCTAAAAACCGCACTCACTACAGTACTTTACCCAGTACTTGCAGAAAGAAAAGTTTTCCTGTCTTCAGTTAAAGGGATGGTGCCAGGAAGAGAGGAGAGAGATAGATGGCTGAGAGAGAGAGAGCGAGTGCGAGAGAGTGAGAGAGAGATCGAGAGAGAAAGAGAGGGGACAGAGGAAGAGAGAGAGAGAGAGAGAGGGAGGGAGAGAGAAAGGGCATACATAACAGAGGGGTTGTCATTAATGTAGTATTTTTATCCTCAAACCGATCTTCAATTTTTCCCTTTTTTTTTTTTCTATCCTCTGATTTTTTCCTTGAGTTAGCAGCAAAACGGACTGTTTTGTTGTGGTTTTTTATCGGAATTGTTCATCTCGCCCGGGGGCAAAGTTCCGCTTGTTTACGGAATTTTACATTGAAAATAAGACGGTGAATCAGCCGTTATAGCGTGATTTTTCTCTCATTTTATTGTTCACTCTATAGAACTTTACATTTCGCTGTATTTTCTCTCCCTCTCTCTCGATCGCCCTTCTCTCTCTCTCGCTCTCTCACTCTCTCTCTCTCTCTTTCTCGCTCATTTCTTTTTGCATCGTGACTGAACAATTTTTACAAATTTGCAACCCTTTTTTTAGGTTGAGGCACCGGGCGCACCGCGAGCCATCAACAACTTCTGCCGAAGCTGACGAAAAACGGTAATTAGCCTAACCTTACTTTTTAAAAAGCAGAATTATTAAAATCAGACCTTCAACATCTTCGATTTTTAGCCTCTTTTTGCTCGCCGATGAAAATAGAGCCTCAAGATGTAAGGAAGGACCCCGTGACCAAGGACCTCGAGGCGGCAAGGCCCGCCTCGGCGCTTGTGAGTTATTTTGGTTTTTGTTTTTGTTTCTTCAAACTTCAATACCGCAATTTGGCCCTACATAAATCCCACTTAAAAACAAAAATATCAAAAAATCATAAATTAAATGAAGGATTATGCGCTCAAATCAAAAAGTTAAGGCTAAAATTTGGGGCTTTCGCATTATCGGGGGAGGGCGAGGCGATCACCTAATTTTTTCCAAAAAGTCCATAAATTTGCACCTTGCCTATCACAAAACGGTCATAAATTTTTCGGCCGTTCTTTGGCCAAAACGCCCCGTTTTTAGCCGGCCCTTCAGAATTCACGTCAGAATTCTGGGAGTCGATCTGGGGAAACACTTGAGTGCAAACTGGTTTTCCGGAAAAGCCAAATTTCCTTAAAAGTCTTCGATGCCTTACATCAAATTTTAAATTTTTTAAGAGGTTTTGAATACAAAATCCATTTGAAAGGTCGGGCAAGCCTTTACATTTTTGTAAAATTTTAATCCCGAGTAATAGCGAGGTTCCGCGAGACGCAACGCGCACGCCACGCCGCGCTCTTCCATTACGCAATGGAAAGCTCAGCAGGCTTCATTTAATGCTACGGCTCTATTGGACAGCTAAATTATCTTTTTACTAGCCAGTTTTTTGATGGAATGAGCATCAAAACGACCCTCCTGCTCCCCGGGGTCATCCGCTAAACTTTTCTGGCTCCGCTTGTCAATTTGATAGCGATATCGCCCGAAAAAATGATGGGTGGGTGCAAAGGGAGTGCTGGGTGTGAGATGGATCAGCGCACATCATATCGACAGGATATGATGAGCACGGTTTGAAGGCGGGGATGAGAATGAGCTCCGGCTCATTTTTTATCGCCCGCATCACGCTTATCACATTTTGTCGGCAATGATTCATATTCGAGGCCGATTTTGGATTATGAAATAACATGATTATTTTTGTCGTATTTTAAAGGGTATAAAGGGCGGTAAGCCTATAAAGTCTTGCATCCATAGCTCTCAAATGAATTCCAGCAAAAAGTCCGACAACTCATAATCCCGACAGCCATAATCCCGACAACCCAAAATACCGACGCAGGGCTAATCTTGCCGCTAGTTTAAGTCTTACTTCCTGTTTAAAACAGCTATTTTGCATGTCGGCGTTGTGCTGTCGGTATTTTGGTTGTCGGTATTTTGACTGTCGGCGTTTTTGCGTTTTCCGCATCAACTTTATGAGATCAAAAAGACCCAGTCTGGTTATTTTTCAGGCTAAAAACATTTACAGCAGTGCTGTAAGGAAGCAAAAAAACGGGGAATTTTTTTAAATGATGGAAAACTCCCATAAACTTATGAATGACGTAATGAATTAAGCTGTTTTAATTCTAGTTTAATGGATTTAAAAAATTATGCATTTCTTAAATAAGGGACGGCAACTGTTTTCACGTGCCTAATCCGGCATATTGTCTTGTTTTCACCGAAACTTGAGGTTTTCTCAATTTCAACCCAAAAATGCGACAAATCCTAATTCTGGCCAGCAAATTGATGCATTCGCCGCGCCCGCGTAATTCCCATAAATAAGGGTATATCTCGGCGCTCCGTTCCATCCGGGGGACATCCATTTCCGAAATGGCAATCGGGTCGCACACTTCGTAAACAGTCGCCCCTAGTATTCCCCTTCCCCTTCCATCTGCCCGCCCCCAAATACCCCCTCCGATCTATCGTCGATTAATTTGGCAAACCCCGGGTATCAATTCTCACTTTTTTGGGAATATCTGGTGCTCATAGCTATTTTTAGGTCTTTTTGAGGAGCCACAAATAATATCTGCTAGCCTGCCCTCTCACAGTTTCTCCAAGAATCTCTGCGTCTCTTCCTAAAGACCTTTAGTCTTCTTTTTCACATTCCTCAAGAATCTCTGTGTCTCTGTTTTCTAAAAATCTCTGCTAGCCTGCCCTCTCCCGATTTCTCAAAGAATCTCAGTTCGCCTGTCCTCTCCAAGTTCCTCAAAATGCTAGCCTGCCCTATTTCAATTCCTCAAAGAATCTCTGCTAGCCTGCCCTAGTCTAACAATAGGCCCCAAAAACCCTTGGCAAGCCATATTTTCTGGACTGAAAGAAACCCTGAATCAGCCCTGAGTCTGGCCAGCCCACTTTTTTGGCCTTTTTCGCCATTTCCTTCAAGTTCTCCTTAATTCTTCTGGTTTTCAATATTTTCGAGCCTTTCCTTCCTTTCTAGCCCCTTAAACCCCACTCCACAACACTAAAAAACAGCATAGGATGGCGGCCCGTGAGCCGGCGGGCAGTGTCCGCGGTCGACTGCAGAAACAGATATCGACCATCTCGGACAAGTGGAGTCGAAAGAGCAGTCGAAAGGTCCGCACAAAAACCCCTAAAATTCTACCAAAGCTGAACCAGGATCTCTTGCCGCAACCGCGACACGCAGCGCACACAAAATTCGTCCGGATGGACGCGTTGCGTGTCGCGCGAAACCACCGATAAAGCGCGTATTTTTGGCACTGGATTGTTAACGGGCTATTTTATTTTCCACCTATTAAGGTCGAAGGTATTTTTCTGCCTTTTTTTTTTTTTTTTTTTTTTTTATTTTTTTCTTTTTTTTTTTTTTTTTTTTTTTTTTTTCATTTTTTTTTTTTTTTTTTTTTTTTTTTTTTTTTTTTTTTTTTATTTTTTTTTTTTTTTTTTTTTTTTTTTTTTTTGGGTGTTTTTTTTTTCTCCCCCCACCCCCCCGCTTTTTTTTTTTTTTTTTTTTTTTTTTTTTTTTTTTTTTTTTTTTTTTTTTTTTTTTTTTTTTTTTTTTTTTTTTTTTTTTGCTGCTTATATGTAGAGCCATCTGGAAGGGAAATCCCATGTTTATCGAGTTGTTTATATTCGGCCCATTAGATTTGCCTGTTTACGCAAATTCAAATTTTGCGGCTAGGGGCAATTGGTTTGATGTTGCCGACCGATTCCCACCATTACTCATCCCATCCCCTCGGATCCAAAAGACCGCAAAAACAGATGCGAGGGGAGGGGGTCATAATAAGAAACACGGTGTACCCCCGATTCCCCCTTCCCTCTCCCTTTCCGCTTCTGTACTATAAACAGCACGGCGGCTGCCGGCGGATAGATAGCCCATCAACGAATGGCACAAATAAAGGGCCGTGACCTCTCAGGGATCGCAGAAATTTAAAATTAGATTGCCGGGGTTGGCGTGGGAATGGAAAACGAATCGATTGTCCTCGGCTTCGGTTTAGCTTAGGCTTAGGCTTGGATTGAACTTACGCTTAGGCTTAGGCCTGGGCTTAGACGGCTTCAGTTCAGGCTTAGCTTAGGGAAAGCGGTTCTTTCGCATTAGCCGGGGGAGCTGATCGCGAGTCGGAAATTTTAAAAGTACTTCCGTAGCGAGTACGTTTGTATCCAAATACGACTACGTTTCAGAACGATCCACTACGCTTTCCGACATAAAAAGTCATAAAAAGTCGATCGATGAAAAACAAACAATAAAAACCAATAAAAAATAAAGAAATAGAAAAATCAAAATCTAATTAAAGTTACCGCTGCCGTTTCAGGGCGGAAATGTTCACGATCCGAGCGTGGGCCTGCATGAGCTCCGCTCACTTATGGAGGCTCGAGGAGCAGAGGCAATCGTTCGGGTAAGTTGCGAGAGAGAGAGAAGCAATAAAGAGAGAGCAAGAGAGAGAGAGATAACAAAAACTCTCGCATTTCAGCTGAGCACCGAGCACGACGGGCTTGAGGGGCTCTGCGGAAAATTGCGCGTGGACGCCTCGAAAGGGTTGCCCAACGACCCGCAAATCCTCGAACATCGCAGGTACGGTAGGGGCTACGGTGTGGGGACACGCTTTAGTATCCCCCAAATTTACGTTTAACTCTTTAGGAAAAAGTTCGGCGCCAACACCATCCCGCCGGCGAAGAGCAAGAAGTTGTGGGAGTTGATATGGAACGCGTGCAAGGTGAGGGCTGAGGATTAGGATTAGGCTTGGCTTAGACTTAGGTTTATGCTCAGGCTCAGGCTCAGGCTCAGGCTCAGGTTCGGCTCAGGCTCAGGCTCAGGCTATCCAACGGTACTGTTCAATTTTTCAGGACCCAACCCTCATCATCTTGGTGTGCTCGGGGATGTTCTCCCTCGGCCTATCCTTCTACGATCCGGAGGCCGACCCGGCAGTCGTCCCCCTCAACAACGCAACGCTACCCTTTACGGGTAAGTTTTTTTTGGGTAGGCAGGCTAGCAGAGGTTCTTGGGAATTCAATAAAAGTTAATAAAGCGATTTTTCAGCCCTGAACGCCACTTTCCCTTTGACCTCAACTACCGAGGGGCCCGAGGAGGAGGAGAAGGGCCACGGCAGCGCCTGGATCGAAGGGGTGGCCATCCTGATTTGCGTGGTGGTCGTCGTGCTCGTCACCGCACTCAACGACTTCTCCAAGGAGCGACAGTTTAGGAGTTTGCAGGTGAGTTTCTTTCGCCGGCTATCTCTCTCCCCTCTCTCTATCTCTCTCGCTCTCTCTCTCTGTCTCTCTCTCTCTTCTCTTTCTCTCGCTCTCCCTCTACCACTCATCCTCTCCTCCATCGATATCAAACGTTTCAGGCAAAAATCGAGACGGGCCACAAATTCTCCTGTATCCGTAATGGCGAGGAAATGGACATCCCAGTCAGGTAAAGCAATAACAAAGTCCCGATTCCTCATTTTCCAGCGACATCGTTGTGGGCGACATCTTGCGCGTCAAATACGGAGATTTGCTCCCGGCTGACGGCTTCTTGGTCCAAGGTAAGTACCACGGCTTGAAAACTTCATTCATTCCCAGGAAACGACCTGAAAATCGACGAGTCGGCGCTGACCGGAGAATCGGATCATATCCGAAAGAGTCCGGAGAGCGATCCGGTTCTGTTGTCGGGGACCTACGCTATGGAGGGTTCCGGAAAGATGCTGGTGACGGCCGTTGGTGTCAACTCGCAGACCGGAATCATCATGATGCTACTCGGCGCGGGGAAGGGGCCCGATGGAGAGGATGACGACTCAAAATGTATGGTACTAATGGGGCGGTAAAAATTAATTTTCGCAAGTGATTAGTACGTTTGTGTACGCAACTGTCCGTAAGTACACATCCGTACACTTCAAAAAGTACGTAGACCCACGCAAAACCCATACGTACACGCACGCTTGAATGTGCAAGAGTACGTCAGCATACTCCTACATGTCACTACGCGCTACGCACTACGCGTAACAACGGGGGCGCTTAGCGTAGCGTAGTGTAGTGTAGCGTTCTAGGCGCCCATACTAAGTAGACTACGCTCGAGTACGGACGCGTGCTTTTATTACAAAAAAGTACGTTCACGTACCTCACGTACGCTACGTAGCTGCGCAATTGCGAGTAAAGTACCGGGTCAAAAATACACTATATATACCTGCAAGTACATGACCGTACGCTTGAGTACGCTCTATCCTTTTCAGCCACCTCATCCTCGTCCTCATCCTCCTCCTCGTCCAGCTCCAGCTCGTCCGGCTCCACAAACTCGAAGTAAGGCTTGAAAGTGTCACAAGAACAACTTGCGTCCACCGTCCCTTTAAACCAAATTTTCCAGCTCCTCCTCCACCTCCTCCTCCTCATCAGCCGACGACTTGTGCGCCAAGTCGGTTCTCCAGAGCAAGCTGAGCAAGTTGGCGCTGCAGATTATTTATTGCGGTGGGCACCGTACCTTAATATTTGTATATTAATGCTTCAGGTACCACCGTGGCAGTGATCGCGCTGATTTGGCTGATCGCCCGGTTCTGCGTGACCACCTACCTGATCGAGGGGCGCCCATTTTCGTTGGCCGACGTGCAGATGTTCGTCAAGTTCTTCATCATCGCCGTCACGATCTTGGTCATCTCCATCCCGGAGGGATTGCCGTTGGCTATTGCGCTTGCATTGACGTATTCGGTTCGAAAGGTGGGTTTGAGAATTTTTGAGCGCTGGTCCTCGCTAGCTCTCATGCTCATTTTTGTTGTGTCTCGCTCTCTCGCTCTCTCTCGCTTTCTCGCTCTCTTGCGTTCTCTATGTGTTTCTCGCTCTCCAGCGCACACTCTTGCTCATTCTCGTTGTATCTCTCGGGCCCTCTTGGCGTCTCTCGCTTCTCACACTCGTGCTCATTCTACCTGTCTCTCGCAGCCTCCATTTTTATATCATTCTGTCTCTCTCTCGCTCTGTCTCTCTGCCTTTCTCTGCCTCGCGCGTTCTCGCTCCTCCCCCTCTCTCGCTCTCACTCCCTCACTCACTCACCCCCTCCTTGCAGATGATGTTCGACAACAATCTCGTCCGTCACTTGGATGCCTGCGAAACAATGGGCAACGCCACTTCGATTTGTTCCGACAAGACCGGAACCCTCACCACCAACCGGATGACCGTTGTCGATTCCTACATCAATGGTAGGCAATCCGGGGGTACGGTAATCCAACCATTCTTTAGGAAACCACTACGAGGGCCAAGACAAGCAGCCGAAAGGCTCTTCCCTTCCCGGAAAGACTTATGAACTCTTCACCAAAGCCATCGCCATCAATTCATCGTATTCTTCCCAAATTGTGCAGCCGACCAAGGTAAAGAGGGATCTGATTACCGAATCCAAGAGGTATTTAGCCTACCCAGCAATTGCAACAGCTGGGAAACAAGACGGAGTGTGGATTGCTCGGCTTCGTCAACCATTTGGGCAGCGATTATGCGCAGATTAGGAGGGAGTTCCCGGAGGACAACTTTTTCAAGGTAGAGAGAGAGGGGGAGAGAGAGAGAGGGAGGAAGAGCGAGAGCGAGAGAGACAGATAGAGAGAGAGTGAGTGAGAGAGATAGAGGGAATGTGTGAGAGCGCGAGACGCCAAAAGATACTCAGCGAGGGAGACGAAGTTAGACGGAGATAGGCAGAGAAAGAGAGAGAGTGAGGAGAGAGAGAGAGAGTGAGAGAGAGAGTGAGACTGAAGGGATGAAGCGAGAGAGGCAGTGCGACAGACAGCCGATGAATAAGAGAGAGAGCGATAGAGAGAGAGAGAGAGAGAGAGAGAGAGAGAGAGAGAACGAAAGCGAGAGCGAGACCTAGCTCTTTTTCTAGGTGTACACCTTCAACTCGTCGCGCAAATGTATGATGACCGTAGTGCGACTCATTGAAGATGGAAAAGACGTCGGCTACCGTGTCTACTGCAAAGGAGCCTCTGAAATTGTGCTCGGCCGGTGGGAAATTTGCCTATTTTTGGACGAACTTTTGAATTTTCGAATTTTTTCCACTTTTGACGGATCGGGGCAGGCTAGCGTTGGTTTGTGAGGAATTTTTCCAGTGCGATGACTTTTGAAAAATCTACTCTTTGAAGCGAATCTGTCTGATTTCAATAATTTTCAGATGCTCCTACATCATTGGAGTGGACGGGTGGCCGCACGCCTTCTCAAGTGACCGTCTCGCCGAGGTTGGCGCCAAATAATCTAAACTTTAGTAATCAATTAAAATAATTAAGATCAACGAGACTGTGATCTCAAAAATGGCGAGCAATGGGCTGCGCACGATTTGCGTCGCGTTCAAGGATTACGTAAGGAAAGGCACCCGCGAAGCCGATCCGATGGAGGTGAGGGAAAGAGAATCCTTTGAAAATCGTGGACTTGAAGGGCAGGCTAGCAGAGATTTCTTTGGAAAAATCGAGCTGTAGCGGGCAGACTCGCAGAAATTACTGAGGAAATTTCAGCACTGTGTAGGCTAGCGGAGATTCTTTAGGAAAAGTTGAGCGGAGGTGCGCAGACTTGCAGCAAATCTTTGCAAGGAGACTCTGTTTCCAGATCCCATTCGAAAACGAGGAGGATATTGACTGGAACGACGAGGAGGAGATGAACTCAAAATTTATCGCCATCGGGCTGTGCGGCATCCAGGTGAAAATTGACTTGCACGTTCCTTTAAAACCTGGATTCAGGATCCGGTGCGTGATGAGGTTCCTGCCGCTATCGAGAAGTGTCGACGGGCCGGGATTACAGGTGAATAATTCAGACAAACGCCGACACGACAGAATCCCGACAGACTAAAATGCCGACAAGCCAAAATGCCGGCATTTCATTGGCGTCAGTTCGAATGCAATTTCCTTTTTTACAGCTGTTTTTCATGTCGTTATGATGGCTGTCAGCATTTTGCTTGTCGGGATTTTGGCTGTCGGGATTTCGGTTTTTTGGCAAAACCGGAACCCGAAAATTTAAGCGACTCCCTTCCACACTCCCTTTAACCCCTAAAACCTTTCAGTACGCATGGTGACTGGTGACAACATCGACACCGCCCGCGCCATCGCCCGCTCCTGCAAAATCCTGGAGCCCGGCGATGATTTCCTGGCCCTCGAGGGCAAGGAGTTCAATGCCAGGTAGTCCGCTTGCCGCAATGAAAATCAAAATTCCTCCAGAATCCGCGACGAGAACGGCAAGGTGTGCCAGGACAAGCTTGACCAAATTTGGCCCCGTCTGCGCGTGTTGGCCAGGGCTCAGGTAGGAGAATGGTTTGGGAGATGGTAGATTACCCACATTTTCAGCCGGCCGACAAGTACACTCTGGTGAAGGGGATCATCGACTCGAAGGCAACTGCGCAGAGGTACCGGGAACTTACAGTTGACGTCTTAGATCAAATTTGAGCCCTGAAACTGGGCAAACTAGCAGAGTTTTTTGGGAAACAAGGGCAGGCTGGCAGTGATTCTTGAAGATTTTACGAATTTACCGCTTTTGTCAGAGAAATCGTTGCCGTAACTGGCGATGGTACCAACGACGGGCCGGCCCTCAAAAAAGCCGACGTCGGCTTCGCGATGGGCATCGCGGGTACGGACGTGGCCAAGGAGGCATCCGACATCATCCTCACCGACGACAACTTTACATCCATTGTCAAGGCACGAATCGGGATACCGTAGATGACGCACAATTTTAGGCAGTAATGTGGGGCCGTAACGTGTACGACTCGATCGCCAAATTCCTGCAGTTCCAGCTGACCGTCAACGTGGTGGCTGTGATTACGGCGTTTATCGGAGCACTGTTCGTCTCGGACTCGCCGTTGAAGGTAGAGTTTTTATTGGCTTTAAAGGGGGCGTGACAGGTCGGAATTTTCAGCTTAGGCAGGCTAGCAAAGATTCTTTGCGGACAATTTTACTATTCATGCAAATATAATCATTTTAAAGGACCCCTCGACCTCAAAAAAGCTACCGATTCTGAAAACCCCCAAATTTAGGCGGTGCACATGCTGTGGATCAACCTCATCATGGACACGTTGGCATCGTTGGCGTTGGCCACCGAGGTGGGTGTACTACAAAATTTGTAAAACTCCAAGTTCTGCGTTCCACGTTCCTTTAAAACCTCAAAACTCCTTTCAGGTCCCCACCGACGATCTGCTCAACCGCAAGCCGTACGGCCGTAAAAAGTCGCTGATCTCGCGCACGATGGTGAAGAACATTGTCTGCCACGCCGTCTACCAGCTGATCGTCCTCTTCACGTTCCTCTTCTACGGTGGGAGGAGGGTGACAACAGAGTCTAAACGTTCAGTTTAGGCCACAAGATCTTCAACGTGCCGTCGGGCATCGGCGCCAAGCTGTACGCCCCGCCTACCGTTCATTTTACGATCATCTTCAACACGTTCGTAATGATGACGCTGTTCAACGAGTTTAACGCGAGGAAGGTGCATGGGGAGAGGAATATTTTCAAGGTGAGGAAAGCGACTTCTTGAAGCCGTTCAGTCGATGCCCTAAATTCCCTATTTTCAGGGCCTACTGAAAAACCGCGTGTTCTGCATCATTTGGCTGTCGACGTTCATCGGGCAGATTCTGATCATCAACTACGGAGGGGAATGGTTCTCGGTCGCGCCGCTGACGTTGGGACAATGGTGCGTAGTGGTGCATCTAGCCGGCCTCAAAATCGTTGATGACCTTAAACGGCGCCCAAACTACCGTAACCGAATGGATTCGCACTTTTCAGGGCCGTCTGCCTGGGCTTCGGTCTGTCCGAGCTGGCCTGGGGCCAGGTCGTCGCCACGATCCCCAGCAAGAAGCTCCCCAAGAATTTCACCTACTTGAAGGTACGACAGCTATGGGATACGGTAGTTGATGGACGATTTTTAGGGCCCAATGGAGCCTTCGAAGCTGCACATCAACGGCGACTACAACGTCAACGTCCGGTCGCGCGCGTTGATGGCCCGGCGGACCGGAAAGGGACTGTGGATTCGAGGAATGCAACTGCTTGGCATGCATGTGGGTTTTAAGGGACAGGAACGGGGCAGATTTCATATCGTAATCAGTTCAATCGATCTCATGCTCCCTTCAAAATCAAAGAAAAATATCCTAAGCGATTTTCATGCCATTTCCAGTTCCGCGTGCTGCGCGCGATGAAGCTGGCGCAGCCGATGCGCGGTTTCGGGCGCACCGCCCCCGAAATGACGGCCTCTGACGCGCAGCGGTGGAGGAACAGCTACAGGAAATACCGGCACCAGAAGCACGTCGAGAGGAGTGAGTCGTAGTTATAGAAAAATTCAGGAGATTAAGTCCACTTAACCTTGGTTTTTCCTACGCCACGTTTATACCTGCCACAAAGCTAAGGTCTATGCAAACGCCTAAGTCTAAGCTTAAGTTTCGGTTAAGCAAAGCTAATCCTAAGCTAATCGCTCCCTGAAACCTAACTAACCACTAATCCACCTTCAGGTTCCGCTTCGCTACGCGTCGACCTCGCATTCGTCAATGGTAAAGTTGTGTGGTTTGCATTTTTGCATGTTTTTTCATGTGCCTGCTATGGAGGTTAAAGACTACCAGAACGATGGAACGCGCACTGTCACCCCGAGGGTGCTGCCCCCAAGGACGCGCAGAGAGCGTCGTCATTAGGGGTGTCCCGTATAGGGCCAGACCCTCTGGGGTTTGGGGCGCCTCTGACTCCCTTCCCCGCTTGGCCCTGTGGTATAGTGGCTAGCGCGTCGGACTGTGGAGCGAACCATCGCGGGTTCGACCCCCGCCCGGTGCGCAACTTTCTTGCTCTAAACGATATTTCATCGTTCTGACCAGGGTTGGTCACAATGATCGGGGGTCCGCGTCCGGACGCGTCCGTCCGCGTCCGCTATGCAAATTACGGACGCGGACGCAACGGACGCTACAGAGTCCGTCGGACGCCGGAAGGTCCGCGATGCAAAGCACAAAAGCGGATGCTAATTACAGGTGTCCCTGGTTTAGGAAAGCGCAGGATCATAATCTGACTTGCATCCTTGACGTTGACTTAGAATAAAACACAAAAATTACTGTCACTGTTCAAGGGAAAGCGCCAAAAAGTTTGAGCAAACGAAAAGCTTTGCGATTTTAGTGCAATGTTCCATTGTTCTTGAGGTTTAGTACTAGTTTCTTCGTTTCCGACTTGCTTTTGTGTGACTATTTGGACAACTGAGAATTATTTTTGTCATGATCCAAGTCAACACGAATATTCAAATTAGGTCTGTGGTGATGCGCCTTCCTAAGCCGCAGACTATTGAATTAACATGATGATCTGCAATTTGCATCGCGGACCTTCCGGCGTCCGGCGGACGCTGTAGCGTCCGCTGCGTCCGCGTCCGCAATTTGCATACGGGTCCGGACGCGTCCGTCCGCGGACGGACGCGGACGGACTTTCGATCATCATGACCAACCCTGGTTCTGACGGTCTTTAAAAGGGTTACCGTGACGTCGCATGCTAAATCGTTGGAAATAGGCTAACTTGCCTCACAAGGATCGATAGTTCCGACTATGTACTATCGCCTTTAGTAACCTTAAATACTTTGTTTAATTAGTAAGTTTGATAATTTACTGCATTGCATTTATCGACAATTTGTCCAAACAGTATTTGTCCAAGCTTTGGTTTTAATACGATTTTCTAATTTTTCTGGTCCCTCAAACTGCTTATATATAATTTCTGGAAACCCACAAATGCCTGCAAAATTCCCAAAATTTTGTTCACCATCCCCCGGCCCAAATTCCTTATTTATACATAACACGCTAACCCCCGTTCGCGAATCCCGTTTTCAAGAAAAGTGTACATTTTGGACCAATACACCGTCCGGGCCGCCGGCATGAAAATAGGAATTACCTCTACGCTTTTTTCCAGGAGTTTTTGCGTGAATTTTGGCGCGTCGGAGTATTCAGAAAATAGCACGGGGTGGTGATTATAATTAAACAAAATTGAGGTTCAAGAATTGGGGGATTTTTGCATTGGCAAACTGGGCAAAAAATCGCCGGAATGGGGCGGCATTGAATGGAACTATTTGTTGAATGAATTTATTGCTAAATAAAAAATTCAATCAATATTATTTCTTTTATATAATTTTTATATAGTTTTTTGTTTTATGGCATTTAAATTTAATATTGCTTTTTTGCCCTCAGATACCGTAATTTACAAAAAAAATATATTTTTTCGAAATTTTATAATTTTTAGCCTGTAAACTAAAATTTAGACAATAAAAATTTATTTTTAAGGAAACTTCGTACCTGCTTAAACTGTAAATTGTAGTACTCGTACTGTGTACACATAAATTTCTTTTGATTTGCATAGAAAACGTCTTATCGATGGATTTTTCAGAAGCCGCCGAAGCCAAGGCGACGGAAGCGCAGCCGGAAGTGGCGGCCGGCAAGTCGAAGTTGCCCCCAGAGCTGAAGGAGAAGAAGAAGACCTTCCACAAGATCAAGACGATCGCCGGAAACCCTACTGTACATCACCACAAGAAGAAGGGAAAGGTGCGTTAATTTACTCCTTGCGAGCGCGTTGCGTGCGTGCTGCGAGCGTGCTGCGAGCGCGTTGGGTGCGCTTTGCCAGCGCGTTGCGTCTGCGCTGCGTGCGGAGGCATTTCTTGCCGGAAAAATCCATAAAATGTCTTTGCACGTCCCTTTAAACGGAAGCCTTCTTCGTCCACCCCCTCACTATACACACAAATTCTGTACCCGCCCGACAAATATGGCATCACCTTCCCTCTCTCTCTCTTTGTGTGTTTTTTGCCGGTCCGAGCGGGCGGATACTTTTTCTGTTCTTAATGCCATCCATCCATCTCTCTCTCTCTCTCTCTCTCCAACTTGAAAGAGTACACAACCGTCCAATTAACGCATTGTACACAAATTGTAGGGCCCGCGACAAAAGGGGGCACCGTTTAGGAAAAGGCATCCCTGAAATGTCGGCCTATATCGAAAAAGTATGATCAGATTCGTAATTCACGGATACGAATTGCGGAAGTGGGCCATCGAAACAATGAACTGGGGGAAGATTGGATCGAGAGGAGATCGATAGAGCGGAATAGAGAGAGACAGAGAGAGACAGAGAGAGAGAAAGAGAGAGAGTGGGAGAGCTAGAAAGAGCGAGAGAGAGCGAGAGAGCGAGCGGAAGAGCAGAGAGAGAGGTAGAGGGAGCAGGAGATAGAGAGAAAGGTGGAGAGAGAAAGAGTGGAGAGAGAAAGAGAGAGAGAGAGAGAGAGAGAGAGAGAGAGAGAGAGAGAGGGGGAGAGAGGGGGGAGAGAGAGCGCGCGCGAGAGAGTGATAGAGTCTAGCAGAGATTCCTGCGGAATTTGTATAGGGCATGCTGGCATAGATCCTTTGAGAATAAGTCTGGCAGGCTAGCAGAGAGTTTTTAGAAATAATCACTCTTCATAGCCCTAGCTTTTTAGATTTATAGAGGACGCAATTTTTCGCGCTCACGAGATAAGTCGATCGGCTTGACAGATTTTGTGGATTTTTCTTAGATGCTTAGTGCTTTTTATAGGCTCGATTTTTGCGTTGTCAAATGATTTTTAGTAATTTTATTACATGTATATTTTCAGGGCAGGGGCAACGAGGCAGCCAGCAGCGACGCGGGCGGCGCGATGAGCGACGTTGATCTCGACGACAAATAGACAAATGACAAGCGCCAATGAGGAGCACCAGCTTAGTATGCAGCTACAATTTTTGTACTTTTTCTCCTAATTTATAGGCTCATTTTAAAGGGGCTGTGAAGGCTGGGGATCGCAAAAAAAGCTTGTTTTTTGGATTTTCGTTAAAAATTCGACCACCATTTCCGTGCCGTAATCGATTACGCTGTATAATTTCTGGACTTGAAATTTTTGAAACTTCTATCAAACGAGCGAAAAATCATGTCATAGTCGATTAAACCCGGATTTAACTCCTTATGGTCGCGTAATCGATTAAGCGCAAACTTACCGGATTTCAATGGCGTAATCGATTACCCACGAATTTTGCTGATTTTAATGGCGTGGTCGTTTTCCCCATGGCTTCATCGTACCTTTAAAACCCCCATCTCCACCCGCCAATTCCACATTTCCACGTTGATACTGGTGACACCGTAGGCCAACATTCCGACCCACTCCCCCTGACGTTTTCTCTACCCCGTTATGTGATAGTATAACATTAAATTATACTACTCCCCACCGCCGCTCTTTTCTGTCAGAAGTCCCATTCTTTTTTTGGCTAAAAGAAAGCTTCTCTCGTCGTGTATAATATTTTTTCGGATTTTTTTTATTGCTTGCTGCTGCCGTGTGTCTAGAGTATTGTCGCGTTGCTCACGTCGCGCCCACGCGTTCAGGTGCCAAATAAAATATCTAATTTTAGCGTTGAGAATACGCAAAATCACACAAAAATTGCGCTTGGAAAAGCTACAGTAATTTAGTCCACAACGAATTTCCGCCTGCTTACCTCAGGCATGCTAGCAGAGATTCTTGGAGAAAACAGCTTTTTTAGGTAGAATCGACTTCCGGAAAGCATCTCTGCTAGCTTGCTCATAGTTTTCGTTTGGCTTAAGCAGAGACCGCTATTTTTGTAGGTTTTTAGCCTGAAAAATAGTTTTTATTACTACTAAAAGCCCTAGCAAAAAAATTACTATGAATTTTCTAGGCTTCGCGCTTCAAAACAGGGTCCCCGCGAGGCTTCCGGATCCAATAAACAGAGTACAGTACCCAGCGCCCATGTTTTTTTGCCCTTTTCAGGCTTTAAAAGAGAGAGAGAGAGAGAGAGAGAGACAGAGAGAGAGAGGAGAGAAAGGTGGGAGGAGGAGAGTGAGGGAGAGAAAGTCAGAGTGAGAGAGATCGGTTCTGAACACCTATTTGCATATTTAATTCTCAGGTACTGAATTTTCCACCGATTTACCGAAATTTTTACCTGCATCTCCCCGGCTCACTATCAGACTCCATTCCCGGCCAAATTACGGCCGCGAATTCCGCCACTTTACCTGCTCTATAGGCGCAAATATCAGAGAGTACTCTCTAAATTATAGGGCTTTGATAGAGAGAAAGAGGAGAGAGAGAGAGAGAGAGCGAGAGACAGAGGGAGATGGCGAGAGCGAGCCACAAAAAGCACACACATACAAATTATTATTGGAAAGTGGGTGGGTGTGAATTTGTAGAGGGAAAGGGCTTCCTGGATCTGATGGTATTGCCTCCTGCTACCCTGTAATTTGTCCAAAAGCTGTTCCAATAGTGATATCACTCCCCCGGGGTAGTGGAACTATGATAATTATTGCCGTGTTGCCCCAATCTAGTTTGGGCTTGCTAAGTGATGGCTAATTTTGAGTGTACTTTAGAGGAACCCGGAAGGCATGGATTGGTGTAGATCTAGATGAAAAACAGTAAATATTGCAGCTTCGAACAGAGATCTCTGTAACGCCTTCTCTTCGCATTAATGATACTCTTTAACCAAAAAATCTCTGCTGGCTTGCCCTCAAGATACTACCCTTCTGCGCCTACCTCATAGGAATTTCCTACCTTTAACGGAAAGAAAACTTGTGATGCGATTTTAGATATAGTATCTAGCCGTGCAAACAACAACTTTTTACGCGTCCCGCCGATTAGTCAGTGGCCCATTTTTAGGCTCGACAGAGCCCTTTGGTGCCGTCGCAACTTTTATTACTCGCCGCCACCAGGTGCCGATATGACTATTATGTGGAAAAGGATCGGACCCCAGCTTTACAATCTGTACATGACGAGAGGATAAGAGAGAGAGAGAGAGAGAGAGAGAGAGAGAGGAGGGAAAGATATGAATTCGGGGCTCTCCAATCACCTGGATCTTGCTCGTAATTTGCGTGGCCTTCAGAGGGCCACGAACACCCCTCCTCACCGTTGAAGGGAAAACTTTACGAGTTGGAGCTTTTGCGCAGATACAGAGTAGGAACTTTAAGCGGTATCAGATTCATCATTAAATTGGGCTAAAAAATGGGCTCGGCAATTTTTGTCAGCCTGAAGTGCTGAATTTCCCCAGCGAGCGTGAGAGCGATAGGGAAAGAGGAGATAGGAGAGAGAGAGAGAGAGAGAGTGAGAGAGTGAGCGAGAGAGAGAGGGAGAGAGGGCGAGAGGGCGAGAGAGTGTGAAGAGAATTTTGGGTTTTTTACTTTCTTTGGGTTTTCTGTCGGGATTTTCGGCCATATCAAGATTTTAGACAATTTCGGCCCCGAAAAAAAAATGCTTTTTACAATATTTCGATTTTTCGGAAAATTCCGTAACCGTCCCTTTCACTACCGCCTTACAAATTTTTCAGCCTAGCCTGACTCAGTAGTAACAGATTCTTTTGTAGTGTAATTGGAATTTTTTCCGGCCCTCCCTGGCTTCGAACGGTCAATTATAGGCTAGAAAAACGGGTCCGAACACCCTTCAAATCGGCCCTAGTTTTTCTAGCCGGGACCAGGGGCCAAAATGATGGTGGAAATGGCGTGGGCAGAGAGGTGACGCGACTCTTTCGAGCAGGGGTCCCCATTTTGGAAATGTTCGTGTCCCACCCCTATCTGGGGACCCCTGGGAGTAGATGATCATTACATATCCGATGTACCCTTTACTGCACCACCACTTCCACCACCGCCTGAGCTAAGCCACAGCACCGTCGACGCCTACCAAAATACGCCCCCGAAAATTGCGGGTGCACGCTGAAACAAAATATCACATTTTTGGCCTGGAAAATGGCGGAAAGCGTTTTTAAAGGGCCATTGAAGTGTCATGTTGGGTGAGTGCGGAGAGAGAATCGCAATAGCAATAGCCACAATCCCCACCGCCAAAATACCGACAGGTGAAAATCCCGACAACCAAAATCTCGACAGCCGTAATCTTTGAGCCGAAACCCCGACAACCAAAATTCCGAGAACAGAAAACCCGACAACCGAAACCCCGACATTGAAGACTCTAATTTAAAATACCGACAGCCAAAATCCTTCCGATCAAAATACCGACAACCAAAATCCCCCGATGGGCCTCTCGGGATTCTGACTTTCGGTATTTAGGCTTTATCCAAAAATTTGTGTATGTGTAATTGGCAAAAGCCATTTTAAAGGACGATGGAAGCGCAAAAAACCTTGGGTATTTCCGAAAAATTCCGATATCTAAAATCCTTGCAGAAAATCTCAATAACGAAAATCCCGACAACCAAAACCACGAAAGCCAAAATGACTGCAAGCTGTTTAGAAAAATATTTTAAAGGCGTTTGGAAGTAGAAATTTTATCCTTGCGAATCCGCTACTGGTTTCAGGCGACACGCAGCGAGCAGGCGCTCGAGTTCCATCATACGGTCCGTGTTGATGCTGACCAAAAATTTGGGTACAGCCAACTCTTGGCAGGTGTTCGCCCCGTCATCTCGCCCCATTTTCTGAGCTCTCCGTCCCGAAGAGCAACGCCGCCTTTTTCGGGGGTTTTCGAGGCGTTCAGCCCGTTTGAAAAGGTATTGCAAAGCACCTGACCGTCTAGGGGAGTGGTCTGTACGTACAAATGTATTCTTATATTTACGCATCCTTTTGGGAGTACTATATCCCCGGTTCGGAGTTGAGTTTTGTGTTTATGAAGCTCTAAATGTTTAAAATTTACATATTTTACAATTTCTATACTGGAATATACCCCGAATGCATGCCTACTTCCTAAGAACATTAAATCGATTCTAAAAATCCAAATCGGCATAAAAATAACGTTTTCAAAGGCCGAAATTGCCTCTAAACCTCGATGGCACTTGCATTATCGGGGGAGGTGAAATTTATCAGGGAGCACCAATTTTCTTTTTATGACTCGAGATTTTATACGTGTTTTAGCAAAATTTAATGACATTTTAAGTAAAAAAAAACTTTCGAAAAACCTTAAAATTTTAAAATTGGCAATTTTTGTCGAAATCTACTTTTTAGATTTTTTAAGCCAAAATTTGTAATTTTTTTAGGCGCGGCAATAGTAAAAAATAGCGTAAATATTTGCGTAAAATAATGTAAAATAAGCGTCTAGTTGATTAGAAAAATCGGATGCAAATATGTTTATTTAGCCCCTTAAGCCTCCCCGATAATGTAAAAGAACTAATTCATATTATGCAAAATCGCTCCTTTCTTAGTTCGGAAATCCCGTCATTTTGATCCTTGCCCTTGGTATTTTGCTGCCTTATCTTTGTTCATTTTTCTAGGGCTAGCTGGCAATTTTTCAGGGGGAGCAAAGGTTGCTAGGTACCAGGGATGTACCCTGGGTTGAAATGTGCCATAGTACCCCGGCCAAAATGCCAATTAACACCCCAACCAGGGTACTGATCTTTTGGTCCGAGTTGGGTTCGGGCCGGGTGCATACCGTTAGAGATCGGCACCAACTGACGGCGAAAATCTGGGGATTGAAGCTGAAAAGTTGCCAGGTGAAGCTTAAAAGCTTGTACAAAAGATTAGAAAATTCTTTGAGAGTTTTCGACGATCGACAGGTGCTTTTTTAAGACTACCATAGCCGATTGCTACAACCGTAATTCAAGCGGAATTTGCAGCGGCGCGGAATCGGAGTTTGGACCCAGCAGATTCCAGGAATCGCGCTGTGGTGCAGACAAGATTCGCACGGCATCAGGGTTAGAATATGTTCTTTATTTTTCAACTTAAATGAGTAAGTTTCAGTGGCGAAAACTATCCTAA